TTTGCATAATTATAACTTCAAGTAGTATAAATTCAAATATATGTCACCACTTTATAGGGTCACATTCATACTTACCGATTTTTACTCTTAAATGGATATTCTCTAAGTTGTAGTTGCTGCTGTTTTTAATTTAGGAGACTGGGAACCATTGGTCAGATGGAAAGAGCTCAGGCCAGGGAGTCAGAACGACTGGATTCCAGTCCAACTTCTGACTCTGATGAGCAATGTGATCTCAAAGACTTGAGAAAATGTTTATTCTTTTTTTCTTTTAACAAAAATCATCTTTGAAAATTTATTTTACTATATAAATTGATCACTTAAAAATTGATCACTGTGCATTTCAGTTTCCTCATAAATAAAATGAGGATGAATGAGAGCTAGTGGGTGTGAAAGTTAACTCCACTGTACAATATTTACTGATCCTACTTCTAATCACACTCCTCTTTCCTCCTCCTTTTCTTACTCCTCTTTCTCCACTGTCTTACAACCACAGACCATTAACTACTTCATACATTTGTAAAATGGGGATTAAAACCATTTTTGTTCTTGAATATGGTCGGAAATTACTTATGATGTATTGAATTACCAGGAAAAAATGTTTAAAATATGGTGACAGTTATAATTGAATCTGTTAATTATTTCAGTATTTATAAAAATATTCAAATGTCCTTAATAAATACCGCAGCTTATATGCCACCAACTTTTCATGAGTATATATGTTTAACTATTTAAACATATATGTTTAACTATTTAATAACTCATTCTACTAATCTCTCGAGTGCCTGCTATATTCCACTGCTTCCAGGGAATATTAATAAGAATAACATTTATCTAGTATTTTACACCCAAGTAGGATATTTCCTTTTGTCAGTCGTGTGAATACACAGAGCACCTGGTTAGGAAACTACTTCTACCAAAACAGGTTGTCATCTGCTATACAACTGACAATCCCAGCGATTTGTCTAGGGGCACCAAGAATGACTTGCCCAGTGCTACACGATTAATGTGAAACATGTTAAAAATTTTGAACATCCTTAGGCCAAGGTCAACTCGCTTATCTCCCACACCACACTGCCTCACCAAGAACCTATAGCCATTTCTAGACATTAGAGTCCACCTTAAAATGTGGCAGCTCCAACTATATCCATCCTCCAAATGTGACGTAACCAGGAGAGACTATAAATATATCTGGAGCAGCATCAGAGCCATAAGACCAACCACAGTGTTGTTACAGTTTATCTATGGAAGCATCACGTAAAGCAAAGGGGATATCCTATCCCAAAGAAGCAATGTATTAATGCAGATAGAAGTGAATAATAACATTGGCAATAAGAGCAAGAACCAACATTCATATGAAGCTGTAAAATTCATAAAGTGACGCCCTAATATAGCAATGTATATAAGTGACTATATATGAATAATACATATAATATGCACGAACACATACATATCACATATATATGCATGCATATGTACACATGTATATATACATGTCTCACACATCTATTTTTATGTACATCTCATATATACATAATTATTTGCATATTGTCCTTGGGGGTAGGACCATGTTTTTGCCTTTGTATCCTCAGTGCTTAGCATAATGCCAGGCATAGGGTAAGCATTTAACAAACATTTATTGATTAAATGACTGAGTGACACTTATCTTGTCCATGTGAAGCATATAGGAAGGTCATCAGATGAATACTCAAAGAAGTAACATAATCTATAAACTGCAAGCAATTGTTAGCTGTTTACTAAGATGTGCCATACCTTACATGTGCTCACTGTCAACCCACTGTTTTCAGCATCTGGAGGACATCTATTAAGGTGGAGGATGTAAATCAGCCTAGCTACTATGGAGATTTTCACAGGGTGGGTGGGGGTGTGTGTGTGTGTGTGTGTGTGTGTGTGTGTGTGTGTGTGTGTGTCCACGTTCACAGTAGCAGTCTTCAAATAGTGAGTGTCATGCACATAGTAGGTATTCAAAGAATATTTGTTGATCAGAATTAAATTTAATATCTCATATAAATTCTAATGATGGATATATATATATATGTATATATATGTGAATATATATATGTGTGTGTGTGTGTGTGTGTACACACACACAATGAGATATTACATGCAAAGTGTTTTGCAAACCAAAAAGCACTACATACATTTCAGAAATTATCATTATCATTATTTTATTGTTGTCATGTTATTACTTATCTGACAAACTCCAACTAAAGACAAATTATTTGGGGTTTATTTTTTGTCATTATTAATTTTATTCATTCCTGTGTAACATTCTGTCTTCTAAGAAATATGGGCCAGACTGATGAACCTAACATGAAGAAATGAAAGAAAATGGAATACAAAAACAGAGAGACAAAGATATTATAATCAGATAAAAAAATATGGTAACCAGACATTTACGTCAGCTCTGCACATTTTTTGCTGTCATCAGTACCATGATTAGCCCTCCAAGTCTATCCCTGACAACATTCCATGAGGCAGTGGACAGAACATTACAGTGGGAGCCAGAAACCATGTAACTGTGAAGCAGTTACAATACTTTTCTAAAGCTCAGTTTCTCTGTCTACAAAATAAAGATAATAATTTCTGCCTTGCTTCTCTCTCAGTGTTCCTGCCAAGATAAAATTAATTTATGTACATGCAAGCATTTAAATGCTGTAAAGTTTTATAAAAATTTAAGCAATCATTTTTATTATTTGTTTTCCTCTCCCAGTAGAATGCTTACATTACTCAAATAAAAAACACTCAAAATTTGCTTTTGTATTGGTACACTAAATGTAATAATTAGATTTAACTTCAGGATGGAAAACAGCTAGGCGATGTGGTATGGAGGAAAGGACAGTGGCACAGCAATCACATTTGATACCAGTCTTGAAAAAAGGAATCCTGAACCTTAGGCCACCATGGTGCCTGAGCTTCAGCTGTGTACCTAAAAATACAAGTACCAGATCTACTGGGAAATGATAAAAAGGAAAAATCGAAGAGAAATGATGCACAGAGACACAGCACAAAACAGCGAATACCTTAAATTGAAATGTACCATTCAAATCCACAGTCAACTCATACATACTCATTATTTGTAAAAGAGGAAGTAGAGATGGGGCAGTTAGGTGGCACAGTGGATAGAGTTCTGGGCCTGGAGTCAGAAAGACTCATTTCCCCGAGTGTCTGAGTGAGCTCAGACATTTACTAGCTGTATAACCCTGGCCAGGTCACTTAACTCTGTTTGTCTCAGTTTCCTCATCTATAAAAATGAGCTAGAGAAGGAAATGGCCAAGCACTCCAGTATCTCTACCAAGAAAATCGCAAATGGGGTCATGAAGAGTCAAACATGACTAAAATGACAGAACAACAACAAAAACAAAAGTATAGATTCCTCAATTTTTGCAGTGCAATACATTAGAAGGATATTCAATTTGTATTGGATACCTCAGGAAGCTCATAAGTCCATGCATACTATGGAAGAATCTGCACATTTATTCTGGTTTGTTCCTAATTTAGATGTTTTATGTCTCAGCATCACTGAACCATCCCATGGCACTCTACTGAGATGTTACTAAATTCCATCTTGATTTTGGGATGATAGCAAACAGACTTTCATGTTTATAGGACTTAATTTTAAGGTAATAAAGAGGCACTGTTGCATAGTGCTTAGAGAGAATGCCTTGAAGCCTGGAGTTTGAGATCAAATTCATCCTCTGATATTCACAGGCTCTGTGACCCAGGGTAAGTTACTTAACCTCTCAGTGCTCTAGGTACCTCTTTAAGACTCAGAGTTGCAAAGTAGGTGCCAGTCCACATTGGTGTAAGGCATATCCTCACTTGGGATATTGCTAGACCAATGAAATTACAGGTCCATTTCCTATCCCTTTTTCTAATTTTAAAATATCCACATGTTATTTGGATATTTCTTCCAGGGATATAACTTGATATAATCATTTTTAAAATATAATTTTATGTATTAATGATTTTTTAATCTGAAGGTATCTTTGGGTATTCTCTACTATGGACTTTCTCATGAAAAGCAAGGGGAATGGCACTGGAAAGAAGTAAGCATGCAAAGCATAAAAAATATGAATTGGGGTGGGGACAGGGGGTCAGTAATAGTTACCAAATTAAAAATAAATTCACTTATTAGATATAGGTGGTACTTAATCAGTCTTGGTTGGACTGAACTGAGCATCACTGGGTTTTAAACTGTAATTTCTCTAGTACTGATTCTAGAAATTGAACTTGAGATGATTGGGAATAAGAAAAAAGAAAGTTTCCCAAGAAAGCCAAAACATTACAGGCCTTATTTATCAGATTGTATGTGATAGCAATTCGAATTTTAACATATGTTCAAAAAACCCAATTTTACCAAGCTCCTAGGCCACGGAGTCAGTAAAGAATGTTTATCTCAAGTCTTTTCAATGATCTGACAAATGAAGACAGCAGCTATATAGGACATGGTGCTGGGAACTTTTCAAATGATGCTGCTCTCTAAAGAGGCAATTACAGTGAGAAAGATTGTCTGTTCAAACTGGGAAGCTTACATCTTTTCAAAATATAAAAGAAAATGGCCACATGGCAAGATAACACAACTGGAAATAGGATGGAGCTAAACACTTTTTTTTTTTAAGAAAGAGGTTTGCATTTAAAGCTTTTATTAGCCAGTGATCTTTCTTGAGAAAAATGCATATTATCTGATAAAATTGTCAGTGTCACCATAAAAATGTGGCACCCATGCCAATTAGTAAACAAAATGCTCAACACACGTCCAAAGTATTTCTCATTCTCTTGAGAATATTCTCCAGTCAAAGCTGATGTTAATTACTCACATTAATGTACTCATTTATTTCCCCCCGAGGAAAGAATTCAGTGAGTACAAATGGCAAAGACTGATCATATGGTATTTTGTCCCTAGTTCTGGCAAAAATTTCATGCCAATCATCGACAACATTCTTATGTCCTTCATTCTAAAAGACCCTCCCCACACTTACATATCACTGGCAATGGAGGAGTTCCTCGACATGGACTTTGGAGACAGGTCATAGTCACTGTCTGACCGATACAGGAAGGACTCCCGGCGTTGGCTGTGGACAAAATTAGCCTGGAGAATTAGCCCTGATCCTGGGCTGGTCATGGGATCCAAGGGACTCCGTCCCGAAGATGTGCCATTGTCCACGTCGAAACTGGAACAAAAGGAGAAATATTTACATCACTATGTGCACTTGGAAAATAGTAATTTAACTAGCAAAAAGAAGTCAGGTCAAAAATCATCGGTGGGAAAACCTATAGCTGGTTCATGTGTTCAGAAAATCAATAAAAGGTGTCTTGATAACACTAAAAATGTGCTGTACTTCAGTGACACTTAAGAAAAAAACCATTACCGACTTTTTTTTTCCTTGGAAAAATTACTTTCCTCTCAAAAAAAAATATGAGTTACAGGCCATAATGCAGACCAAAACTATCAAATACATGGCCTGGACTTCAATGTGGCTACAATCAGATTAAAATGTAATTGGGAACTATTTAACAAAGGACGTAAAGGTACAATAGAACATAATGTTAATATGTGGTTTTCTAAGTCAATATAGGGCCTGCAGAAATTCTTATGCAGAGTTTATTTGTCCCCATTTCCATTTCATCTTGACACCACTGGGAAAGACCTTTAGCAGCTTCCAGAAAAGAGGAACCACTGCACAAAGAATCTGATTACCTAACAATCCTTGCAAACAGAGAAGATACACTTGGTGTGTCAGTCTTTTAAAAGAAAAATAACAAAGTTTCAACTGAATTCATTTCAACAAATATTTGTTGAATACTTCCATATACTACAGAGTATACAAATGAATTATAAAACATTGACCCTATCCTCAAAGAGTTTACATTATTTAGATCTAATATCCGTAAAATGGCTTTCCCAACTAGCTTGGTCTAAAAACAGAAGCCTATTTTCAGAAAATCATAGTAACAGGGGAGGGATGAAAGGGGGAAAAAAAGAATAACAAGGTAGAGTATAGTACTTTCTACCAATTAGGTGAATGAATGGAAAACATTTATTAATTCTTACTATATGTCAAGAATAGGTCACATGCTTGGTATAGAAATAGGGGAAGCAAGACAGTTGCCCCTCCCAAGGAGCTCAGATGCTCACATTCTAAGTGGGTGGAGAAAACCTACAAAAGCATCCAGTTGGAAGGCAGATAGGAAGTCAGAAAAGGGTTCAGCTCTGGGGCAGATGGTAGGGTCCGGGGGGATGAAGGGCAAAGCAGCAGGACAAATGGGAAAGTCCCAAAGACTATAGGATGCAGTGGCAAGGCAGATGAGAAGGCCTCACAGTACTCAGCCTCACCAGAAGGCTTGCAGTTAGTTGGTAACTGCCGGCTCTTCTAAGTGCTGGGAATAACCATATGGCTCTTTTGGAAAGCCTCGGGTTTACTGGGGAGGAATAAAGGGAAAGCAAGGGGAAAAGATACTCCCACAATTGTAACTTTTCCTACCTGATCGGCTTCAATGAGATCTGGGTAACTGAGAGCTTCTCGAGAAAAGGATAGAGGGAAGATAAATGATAAGGATGCTTCCAAGGGCAGTTATTTCTGTCTGGTGGCCCGGATGGCATCTTAGATGCTTAATAAATACTTGAACGAATGATGAAATAACCCTCAAACTTTATTTTACTCATTAGTTATTCAATTATCCCTGCACTAAAACTTTCAGCCAAATATTTAACATATCACTCATTAAAAATAATAATAATCCTTTGTTTTTCTCTGTTCCCACTGAAAAGATTAACTGCCAATGAAGGAAAACAAGGAGACAGATATTTCACCAATGATAATTTTCAAATGAGAATGTTGACTAAGAGACAAGAGCGGCTAATAAAAGGTGAAAAGCTATTTCCCCTCCCCTATACATACAGTCTACCTTGTTCAGTCACGGGAAAAACATTCCAAAGTGGATGATGATCTCAGCTATCTTATATCTAGGACTTCTTTTTAAGTACAAAGGTGGGGCTATTTTAGCTAAAATAAACAAGCTTATGGTTTCTTGTAGATTTGTCTCATTTTAGAGCCACATTAAACTGAATTCAATAAACATTTAAGTACTTGCTATATGCCCTCTCCTAGGAGTAAATGACAGAAAAGAGAAACAAGACAGAGTTCCTACCAAAAACCTCAAGACAGAAGATCTTATGCTCCCCTACCCCAATGCAGGACATCCTCCTTCCCATTCACTTATCTGGCACAACAGCATATCCTACATACTATTGTTGCCATGAATTCTTTTGCTCCCTCCTGCCTTATACCTAATCTCTTTCAGGGAAATCTTTCCCTGCTTTCCAAGATTTCATTGTCATTAATTGTCATTAGCTAATAGATCAAACTAATTGGACTAATGTGCTAAAGGTAGAAGACGCTAGGAGTTTCTGAATACTACCCCTCCATTGCCCAGGCCATAAAAGCACATTGTAAGGGCCATCTGAAGATAATAGTGCTTATTTGATTACTGTGTTATATTCTATTAATTTTTTATGTTAATTCTCAATAATGGGGAGAAAAGTTAATCAGCATAATAAATATGGGAAAGCCCTCAGTAGCAACTCATCTCTCATTAAAAGTCAAAGAATTCTTAATGAGGAGAAGGCCCATTACATATGTTAATAAATTATCATGTGACATAGGCCTTTATCCAAGTCAGTCAAATATGTGGTTTAGTTTTTCATCAACTATAAGAGAATAATCTGGGGAATATAATAATCAAACAGCATATTGGTCAATCAAATCAAGAAGCATTTATTAAATTAAGTAACTATGAGCAAAGTTCCCAAGTTCACAAAGTCAACAAAAGGCAGATTGAGAATTAGAATTTGTGACTTCTGTATGCTAGCCCCAATTTTATATGCCATATCTTTCTACTTCACCATCTAACTATACAGTGTGTTCACACATATCTCACAGAATAACACTAATGGAATGGAAATTTTATCATTAATTGTAGTTTCAAAGTATTTAATTCAATAATCCTGATAAAACAGATGTGGAAAATCTAAGGGGAGTTTTAGTACATACAGGATTTCTGGCAATAATAAATTATATTTCCTGGTGGTTGCCATTATTTCATTATATATCATACCCTTGTTATAGTTGAAAGTGGCCTTTGACATCATTTAAGTTCAAACTCATTTTATAAATGAAGAAACTGAGTCCAGGGAGTTTAAGTGATTTGCCCAAGGTCACACAGGTAACAAGTGGCACAGCTAGTACCTGACTCTAAGTCATGACTCCAAAACCAGTTGGGGTTCATTGTAATTGTCAGATATGCTAGACATGTCCCACACTTTGTGACCAGATCCCACATGAATCCACCAGATGAAGAAAGTTGGCCACAGCAATTAGTCTCATTCCTTCACTCACTTTGTGGTTTCACCTCAATTTTAGACCATCCCAATACAAAACATCCCTCTGTGGTTTAGGAGACAAATCACAAGGAGTTGAATAAGGCTCAAGGAGTTAAGTGACTTGCCCAGGGTCATAAAATTTGTGTCAGAAAATGGATTTGAACAAAAGTCTTCCTTACTCAAAATCTAACTCTATCTACTAGCCACACCATCTGTTACAGAAATATATATTGACTGTGTTTTAAAGGTATTTAAAGTGTTTATTTCTTTAAATGAGGAAGTAGTGGATAGTGAATAGAAAGCCCATCTAGAGCTAGCATTCTTTTTTTTTTTTGCTTTTTGTTGAGGCAATCAGGGTTAAGTGACTTGCCCACAGTCACACAGTTAGTAAGTGTCAAGTGTCTGAAGCCAGATTTGAACTCAGGTCCTCCTGACTCCAAAGCCAGAGGTCTATCCACTGCACCACCTAGCTGCCTCTAAAGCTAGCATTCCTTTTTTTGGGGGGGGGAGTTAGGCAATGGGGTTAAGTGACGTGCCCAGGGTCACACAGCTACTAAGTGTTATGTGTCTGAGGCTGGATTTGAACTCAGGTCCTCCTGACTCCAAGGCTAGAGCTCTATCTACTGTGCCACCTAGCTGCTCCTAAAGCTAGCATTCTTCCTCTAACATAAAGGTTCTACAACCCTGGGCAAGTCACTTAACTTCTTAGTGTCATCAAGCAAATTTCAAAAAGAAATCACTATACAGATTCTCATAGGTAAAAGGATTTTCTATACTAGAAGCTCCTTATATCAACAACATTGTAGATGTGTACAAAAAAATCCACTTATGGCATATGTTAGTAAAATATTTTTTAAAATATATTATCATTAGTTATTAGAAATTATACTTGCTTTGGGGAATGGCTGAACAAGCTGTGGTATATGACTGTAATGGAATATTATTGTGCTTTAAGAAATAACAAGCAGGATGATTCCAGAAAAAACCTAGAAAGACTTACAAGAACTGATACATAGTGAAATGAGCAGAGCCAGGAGAATATTGTACATAGTAACAACAATATTGCACAATGAACTTTGAATGACTTGGCTATTCTCAGCAATACAATGATCCAAAACAATTCCACAGGACTCATGATGAAAAATACTATCCACCTCCAGAGAAAGAACTGATGTTGTCTAAATACAGACTGAAGCATGCTATTCTTTCTTTCTTTCGTTCTTGCTTTCTTGCTTTCTTTCTTTTTCCTTCCTTCCTAGTGTCTTCTTGCACAAATTGACTAATATGGAAATGTTTTGCATGATTGCACATGTATAACCTATATCAGATAGTTTACCATATCAGGGAGTGGGGAGGAAAAGGAGGAAGGGAGAGAATTTAGAGCTCAAAACTTAAAAAAAAAACCCAACAACTAAATGGTTGTTGATTGAGTGAAAAAAATTACAATTGCTTAAGCAGGTTGTTATCTGTTACACTGAGGAAAGTTGGAGGTAGAGGCTTCTTTGATGTTTTTGAACTTATCTCTAAAATGTATACATTTTGTCCACTAGGTGGGAGTCATTTTAGAAATAAATGAAAAGTCTATTAAAAGGTCATTTGCAGGACTAAATAAACTATTTCCTAAGAAAGCATGAAAAACAACCTCTCACAAATCATTCTGAGGAGATAAACCGGATAAAGTCAGGAAAGAACAGATGGCCATGATAGACTGGGTGCTGATAGGAGAGCATTGTCTGTGCAGAAGCTTTTCAGTTTCATGAAATCAGTCATTTATTTTACCTTCTGTAATTG